AGAGGAGCCTGAAGGAGGTGTGTGGTGTGGTTTTATACTCACCTGACAGGAGTCTCACTGCAGTCCAAATGAAAATTGTGATGCCAAAATGATCACAATATCTGTCCAAATAATTGCAACTTGATGTTTTTCCATATCGTGCAGCCCCTCTCCAGATATCAGCTTTACTGGGCCGATTAGTCATTTGGAGGAGTAATTTGACATTTTGAGAAACATGCTTATTCAGACTTCTGTCTCCTGTCCTCCTTCACTTCACTCTCTGTCTGTACAGTACATATGTAGGTAAAACCAGCATCTGGTTAACTTAGCTTAGCATAAAGACCAGGAGCTGGTTAATCCCTAGCATCTGGCTCTGTCCAAAGTGCAAGATGTAACTTTATTGGGCTTTAGAGGTGCTGATAGATGAATTTTTGTTACCTTTGGACAGAGCCAGACTAGCTGTTTCCTGTCTTTGAGCTCAGTTAAGCTAAGTAAGCTGCTGGCTACTGCTATATATACTGTACAGACATAGGTGCAACAGCCTATATTAACTAATTAAACTAATCAAAAAAGCAAAGTGTTTTTCCCAAGTATCCCCCACGTCAAGGCGGTTATCAACCTGCTCTGCCAACCCAACCTAATCTGGCAATCAAAGAGAATTTATTAATAATAACAATAACTAATTGACAGCTAGAACATTTATAGATAACATATTATACAATAAAATGAGTCAGTCAAGACTATTACACTAGACTGTTAAATACATCTTAGCAATATAAAAACACTTTAATCCTAAGAAGGTAATTTAGTGAGCCAGTGGTGAGGAAGTAAGCAGGGTCTGTACCAAATATAAAATATTTTTCTGTGCACAGAGCATCGCCATATAAAGATGGACATCGTGTCTCCACCTCCTCCCACTGTACAAAAATTAAGGCAAAATATGCCGGATATGTATCCGATATATAGCCGATGCCATCTTGTGCTATTGCCGTTATTGGGAGCCGCTGTCTGCGCAGTAGTGATCAGGGTTGGATGGTTCCCACCCGTACACAGGCCGATTCAACTACAAGCAGGGCTCTGCTGTCAATCATGATGTGAAACCCCCTCTTTATAGCTTCAAATCAAGATGTTTTGCCTTCACTATTGTGTGTACATGTATCATGTCGTCAATTTTTATATGTGACGATGGTACAGAGGCTGTATTTTAAATCTGTCTTTTAGTCTGACCTCAGAGACAAGTTGGGTTTGCTGGACGGGAAGATTGAGAAGACTGACACTGTCATACTTCAAATCAGTGACATGCAGAGCAAGCTGAAGGTAAGTTTGACCTATTCCATTTCCAGCTTTTCACAAAAATAGAAAACAAATAAATTAGCGATTCATTTACAAAGAAAAGTGTGATGGCACTTACATAATGTCTATTTCTCCCTGTATTTACTCTTTATCTATGGCTCCTCTCATGATCTTTGCCTAGGATGCAGCAACCAATAGGAAGATGGCATTTGCAGCTGTGTATCAGCAAATGCGGGATATGTTGGTCCAAGAAGAACACAAGGCCCAACATGATGTGGACAACGAGCTGGAGACTGCTCAGATGAAACTTCAAGACTTCATGAAGAGGTTCACTGAGAATTCTGAAAACATGAGAAAAGCCAGAGAAGATCTCAACAGTCTGCTGAGTCAAACCCAAAGCCTGGCCTTTCTAAAGGTGGGATGAACATTGTCACAGAAAGATGAAGTACTGGAGGGTAAAAAACGATGGTAAATTGGTGTTAAGTCATGTTATTGGGTGCATACTATGTTTCGGCCACCACAAATTTAATTAAAGTTAGAATTTTAACTATACTGCAACAGCTGTTTTGAACATTCAAAACTGGCTGAAGTAATCAATTTAGTAATTTATTACACAAAAATGCCAAACATTTACTGGTTCCAGCTTCTCAAAGGTGAGGATTCAGTGCTTTTCTCTGTGATATATGATTAAATATCTTTTGTGTTTTGGACCGTTGATCAAATAAAACAAGCAATCTGAATACATTAACACTGGCTGTTTGATATCACAGGTATTTGTCACTATTTTCCAATATTCCAATATTTTATTAACAAATGAATTAATTGAGAATGTAAATGAATCAAGAATAAAAATAATTGTTACTCTAACATTACCGACTTTGGCACGCTCCAGTGTTGCTACCAAAAAAAGAGAACAATGCATGCTGTTACACCAATTACAGCCACGTCTTACATGTATTGAATGAATTGGGGGAGAAAACACATCCCATTAATAAGTATTTTCTTTCACTTGTTTCTCACAGGCTTCATTTGACTTGCCTAGGGTTGTAAAGTTTGACCCTTACGCCCCTCGAGTCAACCTGGACTCCAAGAAGGTGATGGCATCTCAGGCCTTTGCTGCTGCCCTGAAGGAGCGTCTGACTGAGATCCTCACACAGCCCGTTGAGGCCAGATTCCTGATGCTTAAACCAGGTGAACATACAGGTACATTTCCAGTTGGAAGTTTTACATTTGATAAGAAAATATAATGGAGCCAGCATGGCTTTTAACAGTGTTTCCCAACCTGGGGGTCGGGACCAGCACTAAGGATAAGCTTCACAGGGGGGTTGCAAGGCCTTGTTGATTTTAAGACGTATGAAGAAAACATACACAGTAGGCCAAATCTCCACATTTTGGTTCAAGTAAATATAAAGTAAATGGTCTAATAGAACAATGGCCAAGCGGTGGGGACAAGAAAACATTGAATTTGTCAAAAAAGAATCCTGTTAAGTCTCTATGATTGTTTAAAAAATAAGAAAAAATGCATAATACAGACAGAAAATTGTATAAAACGTTTCCTTAACAGGAATAATCTCATTATTAATCCAAATACTAATTTTATACAAACTTCTTACAGTTACTGACTTCACTATTTGGGTTAATTGTACAGCTTTTAATACAATATGAAATGCCCACACAATATGTCACTTAGTCTGGGTCGTGAGTTTATTACTCAGTGAAAAGAAAAAGGTTGAAAATGAAATCAAACGTTTACTCTATCGATGCTGTGTTTTCTAGCTGTGGGCTGTTTGAAATACTGAGCAGATCAGATTCTTTCCCTTGTGTAATCATTGTACCTGGATCTTCATTGGATGTTGCTGCCATTGTTGTGGGTGTGTGTGTGTGTGTGTGTGTGAATGGCTGAATGAGGGGCAAATTGTAAAGCACTATATAAATACAGTTTATTTACCATTCACAGATGAAAAAGCAGCTCCCGTCTCTGGAAGTACTGGATCTCAGTCGGAATCTGGTATGTTCATCTCTATGAAGGTATTAGAAAATCTAAATACAGTAGATACATGTCCCTATAATAAAATATCTGCCCATCCAATGACAAAAATGTGTGTGGTTTTTGCTCGTCAGTATATGTGTGTGTGTACCCTTTGATAGGATTAGGAATTGTAAAACAATTTGACAAGTGTTTTGTAACACATAGCTCTTTACAATGTCATAAAAAATGTCTTCTCACTTCAAATTCTGGTCCATAAATTCCAGAGCCGAAAGGACAGCCCAGCTCCCAAAGTTTCGGTTGTCCACCTATGCAGCCATACTTCCAGCCAGTTCCTGTACCTGTTTATATGGAGCCACCTGGAGGCTGGAATCCATCACATTATTCACAGGGCCAGTCACAAGGCTCTCATAGGGGCCCTCCATTTTTGGGAGGACAAAAGCCATGTAAGTACGATATAAACGTACAATCACATTGTGATGTTGGTCACGACAGTATGATTAAGAAATTCCAGACAGTGATCTTATCCTGGGACACTGAGATGAAACAATTGGCTGACAGAAACAAACTGACTACACTCATTTTTATTGTGATTGTATCACTTTTCTATCAAGACTTACACCATGAAAATAGTTTCAAGGAAAAACCAAGAAAACTGTCTGCAAGCCAGTTTATAAAGTGACCCCGAACAAGGCTGGAGAAGCACGTAAGAGGAGCGACACAGCCAAAAACAAAACTACAAGAATAATTGTTTGAATTGGGTTAGGACTTTTTTTGTAATGCCATCAGTCATCAGTATTTACCAAAAAGGTAGTGTCCCAGTATTTACATGAGATAAGATTTTTCTTTATTGAGTCCCGTGGTGGGGAAAATAAAATTTGGCACAGCAGCACAGGGGAATGTAGTGCAAAGAGTAGAGAAAGAATAAAATACAATAAAAAATTATAAGACAAAATATAATAGATGTATAAAACTTAGTGCTGGGCAACGATTACAATTTTTAATCGCGATTAATCGCAGTTACGCAAAATTCAACAATGAATTCAAAAGAAAATACTTGAAACTGTGTATAACTTTTGTATGTGCATGCATTTGTGCAAAAAAGACTCTGGCTTAGCAGGTTAATAGTTAACAGTCTCAATCAGCGGAGGTGGGCTGCATTAGTCTGTGGCTGAAAGTGCTCCTGAACTGCCACATGAAGGTAGAGGCCCAATATATAGATTACAGATACATTCAGAAACTAGTAAAAGTGCTTCCATAGGATATCAATGTGGTTCAGCTCTATTTTTGACTATGTATGGTTAGATATTAGGAGGTGCACGCTTTTTTGTCATTTGAGTCAACTCGCTGAACAATAACTGTATTATGTCAGTGATTAGTATGTAACATTTTCTAATATGGCAACATTTTGCAGTTCATACATGCTATATGTTAGCATTAAAGTAAAAGTTGAGTTGAGGCAGGAAGTGCAGTCTCATGATAATTGTCTGGGAGTGTGTCACTATGATCACATGATACCGTGATTGGATCAGTTAATGTGAAGATATGGATTATAGGAGCTATGAACAACATGTTTGTGTACATCTTGGTCAGTTGGTGCCACCAGATCGCTTAAGTCATAGTTGAAGTAGTCTAGATATTGATTGATCACCAATGCTATTCATAGAGCCACATTGCAACTCAAGAAAAAACGCCATAAAAATGTTTTCCTTGTTTTGTCTTGTTTAGCAAAACAAATGTGTTTGACTTTTTTATTGTCTGCTGTTTTTCTTTTTTTTTTTTTCAGACAAGAAAAGTGATACCAGTCACCACTCCTTCAACAGTACGTATTTCACCTCCATATTGTATTGCACAGTGAAATTTGATGTTGTGAGTGTTTTTTTGGCTAGGCCCACTATTACCAGGCCAGGTCTTTTCCTCAGACTGTATTGAAATAAGAACAAGGGTTTTTGGGTAAGGAACAAAGCTCTATGTTTAATGTTTTGCATTGCGTACAGTTTTTGTTTGTTTCCTAGAATTAAACCTTTTTAAAAGTTAATAAATATCTGTCGGACAACATTGAGCACTTTCTCTGTTTTTTCCCTTGTTTATGAAAACCATTGTACCACTGACCATGTACATTTGTGTTCTAAACTGGAACTGTGTTTTACATTTGTACAAGCTTTTGTGCTTATGCGTCAGTTTTTGAATAGAAGTGACTATAATGAGCTCCAGGTACTGTATGTGTGCAGGGCTGCCGTAGTGTAAGGTGTGGTTGTTTTAGTGTTGTTTGACTTCTGAGTTACATAAAATGTCTTGGGTTTAGCTTGGCCAATAATTACCATATGTCACAGGTGTAACAGCTGTTTGTCTGCAGCCTTCAGGACAACAGTGGACTCTAGTTCACAGGCAACTTTCCAATAAAAACAACAGCTTCAACAACACCCTTCTCATAGACCCCTGGTACCTGAATTACCTGTGTGCCAAGATGTTGGCAAACTCTGGAGGCTTTTGCAGAATTGCATTGCATTAACTTCAGAAAATGTTCAGTAGTAACTATAAAATTCAGGAGTTCACACTGTTGTGCTTCAGCTTGTCAATTTGAGCACATGCCATTTTGAAATTTTTTGAATTCCAAAAATCAGCTTGGCAAGTGGCAAACTCTCACACTGGGCGAACTACTACTAAAGAAACTTTTTTGTATATTTTCTTAAGAACAAGACAGAAAGCCCCACACTGCTCCAGCGTGGGATGGCCCCAAGAGAGACAATCCAGGAGGAAATAAGCCCAAAGTGGAAAAAGGACCTGATGCCCCAGTTAGAGACCCCCCACAATCCAGAGGAAATAAAGCCAAGTGGAAAAGGACCTGAATGGCCCCAGGGAGAGACAGATCCAGGAGGAATAAGCCAAGTGGAATAAGGACCCTGATGGCCCCAGGAGAGACAATCCCAGAAGCCATCCCTCATCTGGGAAATCCGCTAAATCCCACCCATGGCCGAATAAAAATAACTAGAGGCAGTTTACTTACGGAAGCCCTTTGTTCCTCTATGGCCATTGACAAATGTCCTCCACCTCACTTGGTTATTCTTTCCAGATCTCCCCAGGTGATCCCACTCCCAGACATTTATGCCTGGACACCTCTTCTCCAGCTGTTAAAATACTTTTAAGGCCCTGTCTGGTTTGGCACCTTCTTATATCTCTGAGCTGCTTGTGCCCAACTCCCTGACTGCCAGTACTTCATCAGTGATTGGTTCGGTACCACCATAGTGGCCACCGCTCCACATTTCTCCACCAGACGTTTAGTACTCTCCTGACTGAGGCAGATGTTAGTGAATGATTGCAGCTGTTTGTTGTGTTTTTTGTGGTTCTTAATATCTTAGATCTGTACAGCATCACCTGCTTTGTATTCAAGGTACTTTGGGATCTTCTGGAGTGTTTAAAACCTACCTAGCCTTATTGATCCAGCGTGCTTAAAGATGTAGATGTATTTGCTTGTGTATCCTAAAAATGCAGAGATTATGAGTCAATCACATGATAAGGAATGGCATAATACTATTGCTTTGTAAGTCCTGAAATAAAGACTTTTGACATGATGATATATTTGTGTGAATGATCAAATGGGTGTGGTAGCAGTTGCCTGGAAATGAACACATTTTCTAGCAACTTGACTTATCAACATTTGTTAAATTAGTTATAGATGAACACATCCAAATGTAATGACGTCATAGTGTCATTGGCTGCTGGGATCTCTGAGCAGGGATAGCTGCAGGTTTTCTCCCTCAACTGATTAAAGTCATTTATAATATAACTTAATTAAAACACAGGAACACATGGCTTCTATATGAAAATATTTATGGGAATGTTTTCAAATTCAAAACATTGCATTACATTCAATCCAAATCCATTTGTCACCTGTAGTAACAATTTCCCCAACAACCCTCTTGACTACCATTTTTGTCAATGGCTTAGTTTTACATGATTGTTACCAAAAGCTTATTTTCTCCCAGACACAGGTCCTTCGTATTTTCTCTTTAGCAGAGGCCAAATAATGCTTCCTTTTAAGATCATATTGTAGTCAACCTTCAGTCAGCCTGTAGGGTTGTTACTTTTACAGATATTTGACAGCAAAGAAGTAAGCCTATTCAAATATATATTAAGTAATAATGAAAGCATTTTGGTACACACCATGGTGACATTTGCCTTGCTGAACTGAGTCTATATAAATACTGTTATATCTGCCAAGATTGAACAATTAATAAAACTGACAGCTATGAATTGGGAGCATTCAAAACATCACAGTCATGTTCCTACAACTCTCAACAGTAAAACAAGTAAAAGTCTTTAGTCACACTAGCAACCTTGTGAGGTGTAATAGCCATCATTACACACCAGGAAACAAATTTGTTGGATGGTTTTAAAATGGGAGAGCACTTTACTTACTGTTACATCCTAGGTCCAAATGAGAGCCCTCCACCAGAATTAGTTAATGCATTTCCCACAATGCTAAATGAAAAATTGCACATTTAGAACATTTTTGAGGACTACATTGACATTTGTTTTGATATTTTCTGTTGTTTATAAGGGACCAACGCTGTTGGCAGAAGAGCTGTTCACTGCTCTGGGCAGCATGCATGGGAATGACTTACTAGAATTTTTATTGTTTTTTCCCCTGATAGTCTATAGTTGCAAAACTTTTGGCTGGTGGCATTTAAGAAAGAGTCTTTAACAGGATCTGGAGGTACTGGGCAAAACCAAGTGTAAAGTTGGAAGAGGGGAGTCACACTTCTGTTTTCTTTAACAAATGGAAATAAATTGGAAAATAAATAGGAAATAATAACAGACAAATATTTAACATATTTTATACTGCATATTGCAGGGGACAGATGCTTATTTCTTAGCACTGGAGCCTGGGAACATAGTGTGATCCATTACACACATACACACTATTTGACTGCAGCTTTAAGTTCTTACTTGATTCAAATTAATTGTACTTAACATGTTAGCATGTGCTGCCATACGTACATGCAAACTTAAGTGTTTGACAGTCACACATTTAACCTGTTGGTGGGGCTGAATAAATAGGATACACAAAATGATTAGGACTCTTCCCTGTGGACCATCAATGTCTGTAACAGACTGCATTACAGCTAATGAGGTATATAACTCGAAAACAGTGTTTTGAACTAGAGCCATGCTGCTAGTGTGGCTAAAAACCTTCAAACAAACCCCAGTTACATTTCAGCAAATTCAACACAACACACACAATTCTGGTAAACATGGATCAGGTAAAAGATCAAACAGGTGTCCTTGAGCAAGAAGAATTCACCAAACAAACAGTGATGAAACCATGAGGTTCCCTGCCAAGGAGGTGCATATTCCAAAAGCATAGGCATCACACGGCTAAAAACGGATCCCTGTTCAGCCTTATGATCAACAAGCTGGCTCCGGGTTAAGCATAAACTAACACTGTAGACTTTTCTTATATGGCTGTGAGCAACAGGCAATTTCTTTTTCTTTCTGCAATAAACAGGACCACCTCAAATGGTAAAAGGAATGTACCTACGAGTAGGCTACTTGACAGAAATAAGGACAAATGACCTCCTCCACACATTATGTTACACACATTATGAGTTCTGAAAAGATGAACAGTTAGATCAACGTCACCTGAACACAACACAGAAAAGTACATGCAAGTAACTCTGATGGTCTTAATATTAAACTGTAGAGATTAGTGTAAAGACCCTGGCTACAGAAAACACTGTCTTTATTCTGCCACCTTGTGGTGACTATCTGGTAAAACACAAAATGATGAAATGCAAGAGGATGACTTGAGTAACATAAAGTAACAACATAGGACAGCTTAATCTCATCAGCAGTTATCACAATCGGCAGCAACATCAAATTTCAACATTATGGTGTCATCTATGTCCTAAGCAGTGTAAGGTGTTTATCAGTGTAAGTGCCAAAACAGTGCAGCACAAAATATGTAAACACGAGGAACTATGTAAAGACGAGGACAAACGAAAGGTTTTACACGTAGGCAAAAAGAAAATCCCCAACAACAGTTACTTGGCAGTACTTTCAAAGTAAACAAGTCAGGCTGTTTCCTGTAGCTCCTACAGGAAAGTTAAATATAGCTTCGAGACTGTATCTTAGTACAATCTAACAGTTTTGGCGAGCTACGTGAGACAGTGCATCATGAAGTAAGCAAACTAGCATAGACGTCCAGTGATTGACACATTTGATTGACACATTGCAGTTGTAACAGAGCCTTTGCTCCATCGAGATTCAGAGACCTTTTTGCCTTCACATATTTCAAAGCCTCATCATCAACACATGCAGGAGACACTTAAAAACTATCAACGCTGTGATGACGAGGAGCCTGAAAGGGGAATTTAACAGATATTCTGTACAGTTTCACATTTCACCCACCATCTGTACAACACTCATCTTTTGCAGAAAATGCGTTTGCTGTTTGTGCTCTTATCAGAGTTAAAAAAACACTAATGGGCCAAAAAGCTTTGCATGTACCGTCAGCCATTCATTGTGACAGCACTGTATTACTACTTTATCACCTGCTGTTGACTGAGACATGGCTTTGAGGGCATTTGGTCAATTGAACCTGGGCAACTTGTTAAAAATGGCTCACTGATACCTGCAGGGCTGCACTGGGCATTTAATTGAAAATACAGTATAATAAATACAGTATTGTCGACTATTAGATATCTATGGCACGAGGGATCAGTGCAAATAAACAGCAATCTTTCTCCGAAACATTCACCTCCTCCTGACTGTCCCACCTGTGGAGGGGGAACTGCCTGAGCTCTGGGTTACAATGTATGGGGGGTGTGGAGATAAAACACCCAAAAACAAATCACGCCGGCCCCAATTCCAAACAGACCTTTCTAACCCGTGAGCTCCCTGAAAACATATGAAAGGATTATACAGGAAATGTATGACACCTATTCTGATCGACATGATTTGAGGATAGAGTGTGTTCAAAGATCATCGAGGAGGGGCGAGTAAGTGCCAATGCAAATGAGGGACTCATAGAAACTGGGCTGCAGAAAGAAGACAGACACTAAGACAATAAGAGCTTCAGATCACGTGTTGTTTGGGGTGGGTCATGCACGAGCGGAGGCCGGCCCTGCAGGCCTGGGTGAGTCGTGAGGGGTGGGGCTCTCCGTCTCAGAGGCGCTGGATTCGTCGTCATCATCGTCCGTCTGCTCGCTGCTGTGGTACAGCATGAGGGCCTGGGTCTTATGGGTGATTGTGATGGTGCAGGGACCCTGGGCCCACGGCTCCCCGTCCACCTGCATGGGCATCTTGGAGCTCTTGAGAACCAGCTGCAGAGGGAAAAATAACAGCCGATGCTTGAATATGAGCAGGGGATATTTGTCTCTAATGGCGGTTACCACCACATCTGGTGCTCACTGAGGATGATTATGTAGAACTGGGGCTGCAGGTAGCCAGACAACAAACTCTGCAGACACTTCTTGATGCTGAAAGAACAACATCTTGGACAGCTTCGGACATTAATCAAAGGCAAGGCAGTAAAGGACAGGTGCTCTTGATAAGAACATTCATTTTTGGTTGTCAGGTCTCTATCAATGAAACTAAATATAATATCATTTTCAGTGGGGTCTGGCCATTAGTTACACAGCCATTATTATAGAAGCTTAAAACACCAATGTAATCATTATGTGTTATTTGCCAACAAAAAAAAATTCTTTAACCCTTGACTGTGTGTTCCCATACTCGTGACATTAAACCTGCACCCTTGGTTAGCAGCAATTACATTACATTACAATGTAAGGTATTCAAATATCAGTAAAATGAGCTTCTCCATCTTTTCCTTTTTTCCCTTCCTGTGGTTGTCATGGTCTACCCATGCAGGTGCACAACAGTCCCAGCCATCCTCTCTCTCCCTCTTGTTTACAGTGAAAATAATGGAGGTGGAGATGATACCCACTCAATGTTTGAAAGCACTTGTAAGTCTCCGTAGGACTTTTTTCGCTTTGACCTTGAAATACATCGGTAGCTGTTTTAGAGTGTTTCTAATGAGTGGTTAATGGTGGATTTGGTGTTAAAACAAGTAAAGACTATGAGCACAGGCAGGAGCCCAGTAGCAAATGCTTAATCAGATTAGCCAAAATAAAATTAGATTCTTAAGTGCTGTTCACGGCTCCCTCATTGTCCTCTCCATACCGCCCTTTAATGAGGTTAGAACCATGTGAATGACACCTGGGATTGCCAATACCCGATGTGTTCGTAGGGTGGATGTAGTGCAGGTGTGTGTGCTGTGTGCTAGCTAGTGTGTAGTGTGTGTGATGTGCTGTCGTGTGTGTGTGTGTGTGTGTGTGTGTTAAGTATGCGTCACCCCGGACCAGTGTGGGACCTGTCCCAGCCGGCAAACAGGGTTGGCCAGCTTGACGCTGGATCTGAGCACAGTAGGAAGGAAGCCAAACCACACCCCACCACCTTTCCAGCAAGACCCCCATCATCCAGCCCGCAGGGAGAGACAAGGAAACAAGCACTGGCTGCTTACTGTTTAGTTGCTACCTGGTAAACTATGGAGCACTTGGATATTATCCACCTTTCAGTAAGAATACCAATTTGGCATTTTTAGGACTAACTGATTATGTTGATGCTCTCCCTTACCGTGTATGGGGGGGGCAGGGTTGCCATACCCCCCAATACCCCTCCCCAAGAGTCCTGCCAGCTTGCAGTAGCCAAATGTTGGCAAAACCCTATGATGCCCTTCCAGAACTGGGCAGCCGACCCTACCATACCCTGCATCCCAAACTCCAAGCTGCCAGTAGGAGCCGCACCAGAGAGACAGACCACGTACTCGACAATCAGTTTCCCTCTTTCCCTCCTCTGCCTGGTCACCATCTCTAAACAAGGGAAGGGTTTTCAACTTACAGTGTAGAATGTAACATGCAGCACTTTGACAAAAAAAAAAAAGCGAATTATCCTCCTGGCTTTGTCTTACATGCTTACAATCAGTTAACGGGAAACCAATGTAGATTTTTCTAAATGTGGCGAAACTATGCTAGAGAATACGAGCTCAACCCGATGCTGGAACTTATGAGGCTTGATGCCCAATCAAATTCCTGTTTGTTTGGTTAACAATAAACGATGAGTGAACTGAAGCATAAAACTAAATATAACAAGTCGCAAATACCCAGTATACGGGAACTATACTCGAGAGAGTTAGTGTTTGGTGTAGGCCAACGCCCAAATTTGAACCAGACCATAATTGTCAATTATATCTTTTCAATCAGTTATAAAATACCAGCCTGTCACGCCAATGACAATATCATGCCCTTTATGCATTTATGTTTGCTTTGCTAGCTGAGAGCGTCTCAAGATTAGCAAGAACTGAGAGTTAGATGAGAAGACTAACACTCTCATATCTGCGCGGCATATGGAGCCGGAGCTAGCAGGGGGTTAGCTTAGCTTAGCATAAAGACCATAAGCAAGAGGAAATGGCTAACCAGGGTCTCACCAAAGTACAAAAGTACTTCTGCCAGTGGTTAGTTCATTTTGACACAAACAGAAACATAAAAGCTGTGGTTTTATGGGGAATGGTAGGTGTCTTTTTTCAACTTTAGCGAAAGCTAGGCTAACTGCTACCACCACTGCTTCCGGGCCTTCATCCTAACTCTTGCCCAACAAATTACAGATACAACAGTTTACAAACATACAGGTCCATTCCAGAAACTCAAAGTAAAATAACCATTTTCATCCACCACAAAAAGGTCCCCGTCATTCACAAGCAGCCCAGATGGAATATATAAAAAATAATAATAATAATAAATAAAAAACTGTTGTTTATTTAGCCATGTTTAAGCAGTGGCAGCTTGCTAAGATGTGGAATTTAGGGCATAAGTCTGATTTTCAGCCAAGAATATTACAAATAGTGAAAACTTTGGATTCTCTTTATGAACTGCATAAGGGAGGACAGAATAAACATTAAGCTTCATTACATGAACAAGGCTACTGTACCTCAATCTTCTTATCCAGATCCTTACATTCCTGCACTAAACAATCTTTGGTGCCATACAGGAAATAAACAGCCTGCAGAAAAAAAAACAGGAAAGTAGGCTTTAATACAAAGCTTTCTCTGGTGTTTCTGACAATGAGGAAACAGGCAGCCAGCATATTCAGAGGCACTCTGTATTAATATTCAAATCCAAATTCAGTAAACATTTGCACATGATTTATGCATTCAGGTGCAGCGGCTCTGACCTTGTTGATGATACGGCTGGAGAAGAAGGAGGGGGTTTTCTCGCGGTGTGTGTGGAAGCTGAGCGCCATCAGAGCGTCGGGCCCCACAGAGAAGTAGTTATTCATGGACAGAACCTGAGGAGGACGCGCAGCGTGTGTTTTATATGTATTTCTATCAAATGTATTAATACACAACACACAAAGCCTGAATAACAACACATCAGCAACTAGAGATACGACTTCATATTCATAAAAAAGAAGGTAATACCGGAGATCACACTCACCTTTGGTTTACGAAAGTAGAGGCCTTTTGAAGCCACCTGCACCTTCCATCTGAAAGTGATTGTGTAGGTAATTAGCAGGAACAGAAGAAACACACTGAGGGCAATAAATAGGATTTTAGAAATACAGACAACACGAGTCTGCCCAGATGCAACCCTCCTGCTCAGAAATGTTTGCCCAAACAGCAAAAAGAAAGCAGATAGAATTTTTTATTTTTTGTATTCTTAATTTTACTCATTTAACAGTTTGATTATATTTCCAATAAATTATATTTCCCTTGGTCTAAATGCAGATCCAAATCCCTCTCCACACTGACATGAGTCAGTTCTGATGGAGAAATATTGAATCCTTTATTTAATGCTTTACTGTTGGCTTAAATGTAGTAAAATCTGTGACGTCCGTGTCATAAATGTTGGCTGCAACCCTGAACACAAATTGTATCAACATACACAAACAGATTCAAGTTCCTCCAACTCCAGTTTAAGACTTGTTGAGATGTTTGAATACCAGATATTTCATCACAAAAAAACTTCTAAAGCTGCTGACATAGCTTCTAGACTGAAGAACATAGCATAAAAAACACATAGTATTAGACTAATAAAACAAGCAGCTTATAGCTTAAGCTAATGAGATGATATAATACTGTGGAAGACTTGTTCCCAAAGCACAGACTGAAACTAGTATTAGTGTCCCACCTGTCCATTTTGACCACCTCTGCATCAAGGACGTTACGGAGAACCTGTTCCACAGGGATCTCTCCAGCATACCCGGCGCCCCAGCCTAAAGTGTTGGAAAGGTCATTTCCTGTCCCCAGGGGCAGGATGGTCACCCTTGGCATAAACTGGTCTTGGCCCTGACGGGGAAAATGTAAGAGCAGCAGGCGTGTTACTGACTTGGCACAGAGAAGTGGTGGCACACAGGCAGAGACAATGACACACTGCAACGCCTAGACAAAGATAAAATGTAATGAAACCTTCAGCTTCATAGTATCGATGGCATCCAGCACCCAGCCCACTGTGCCGTCACCCCCACACACCAGCACCCGCACACTGCCGGGGGGCAGCAGGGTGCACAGCTGGAGGGCTTTGGAGGGCGTGAGCTCAGACAGGTCAAACACCTGGAGGAAAGATGGGAGAAAGGGTCATAAGTCATGTTTGCGTAGGAAATACAATCTGGAATTGTCTGATTTAATTTGCTTCACTGCCTCCTGAAATGTCTCAACCCTGGTTCTTTGTAACTTTGTTTTAAAAAGGTGCTATAAAAATAAAATCATTTATTATTATAGATATAAAGTAAGAGAAGCTCCAGACCGACCTGCACTGGGTTCAGAAGGGTGCGAAATTCTCCCAGCAAAACCTCCCCCATGTTGTTTCCGCTACGTGTGTTAGCCAAGACCAAAACTGGAGTCCAGCCACTGCCACAGGACAACGCCAGCTACAGAAACACACACAACATTGCTTAAAACAGTCCTGGGACAGCATGTAAAAAAAAAATAAAAAATAAAAAAAACACAGTATGAGTCCACTGTGGCTCCAAACAACGCGGCCATATCTCCAGCACCTTGCTGTACTCGTCTGGGTGCCGGCGACGGAGCTTGTTGACCCAGTAGAGGTAGTGAGGAGGGATGATGAGGCTGTGGAACTCGCCCAGGTCACACTGGTCTGCGTCCGGCAGGCTGTCCATGCAGTCGTCGTGCACTGTGGCCTGACACCACACACACCTGCAGGACGGACACAAACCATTAGAGAAATGAGAAAATACACTAAAGCAATTCCTGCAGAAGGGAGCAAGACCCCGAGTCTTTACTGGCTGCAGGGGTGCCTGTCTGTCAGTCTGTCAGTTTGTGACACTGACCTGTGACCTGTGAAGCGGTCATCCTTAGCATCAGCAGATCAATTCATCTGACAATATGAAATTAGGCCAGCTAGTACAGAGAGCAGCAGCAGTCCATTAGTGCAAATTATAGGCAGATTAACATAAAATGGCGTTGTTCCCCATTATGATATGACAACCTTGGAGGGTTGGAGTGTGAAGCATGCTGGGATCTTGCTTTTCCTTCCATGTATTACAAGTGGTCAGTGTGTAGGCAAGGAGCTCTTCATGGGTGCAAAAAGAGCAAAAGCGCGTGTTCTGCGCAGATACGCAGCTGCAGATGTGCAGCTGCAGATGTGCAGCACAGTATTAAACGGCGACCTTTAGCACTACCTACGCTCACCTGAAGTCGCAGAGCTTCGGCTGGGTCCCACACTGCTGTTTGCATACTGCACAGTAGCTGGCGAGGGGGACATTTCCGCGGACCCAGCGGTGCTCCATGGCTCCGCCGGGGCTCGAGGGGGCCATGATCTCCTTGCAGGTCAGGCTCCGGTCGGCCCGGCGCAGGCACTGCTCGTCGGCGCACACGCCGCAGCAGTCGCAGAAAGCCCCTTGGAGGATGTGCTGGGAGCAGACGCAGCAGTAGGTGGGCTTGTTGAACAGGTCCGTGTAGTGCCAGCCGTGCTTGCTCTTGCGAAAGAAATCCTTCATGTGCGTTTTCCGCTTGGAGCGCTGGGCGCTGCACCACAGTGTGATGATGACCGGCACGATGACGGCCAGAGAGGTCCAGAACAGGAGGGTCCACTCCTCCCGGGAGCCGCAGTCGTCCTGCAGCTCGTCCCCCTCCTTGTACATCGCTGCTGGACGCTGGGCCGAGCGATGGGTGATGCTAATGAGCGGAAACCAGCACCGAGGAGGACCGAGGAAACAACGCGGACTGCGGACTGGACGCACCACACGTTCTCCCTGCGGCACTCATGTTCACGGACACCAGCCGCATGCTGGCACTAATTCCAGCTGAAATCTAAACATTTTGTGTCCGACTAGCTGTAAACATGAAGACAACGATGTGACGTTGAACCAATGAGCTACCTCGCTACCGTAGCTTCGCCAGAGAGTGTGGAAATGTCAAGATAACTCCGTTCACCGACGGGGATTGGACATGCGCACTGTGAGCCACAGTGCGTTCAGCATGCAACCAGCGGTGGAACAAGTGTTCACTTCCTTTTAATCCCTTTACCTCAACACCCCCTCCAGACACGCATTAAGACACATCTGCTGGGAACAATTATAAAGTCTGATATGTTGTTTCTGAATATGCAAATGTTCATTTCTAAAGTTTTCTGCTGGACACAAGATGTCTCCTCCTTCACTGTAAAGTCCATTCTCAGTGGATGTGCACTGGTGGATCACACTGTACAGGTTGCACACTGGACCAGGACTGACTTCAGACTATTTGTGATGTCACAAATCCTGCTCGTTGGCCTCACCAGTGAAAAATCTGATTTTCAATGAGCACTGAGAAACTTTCCACTTTCCTTCTAGTGTCAAACTGCACATACAGCACTAAAACAGCACACTGTAGGGACAAGAAGAAAAACATATGAGTGGAGGGGGGCTTTAAATATAAGAATTAGCAATACCACTCTATAAAACTACTCCATTGTAAGTTAAAGTCCAGCATTAAAAATTCTACCCAAGTAAAATTATAGCAGTAAAATGTACTTCAAGTATAGAAAGTATGTTTTGCAGAAGCATCCATATCAGTGGTGGAGAAAATACTCTTACTCTTTTTTACTTAAGTTAAAGTACAAAAGTATTATCAGCAAGATATACTTAAAGTACGGAAAGCAAAAGTACTCAGTCTGCAGACAGATCGTCCCTTGTGACTGATTTATTATTATTATTATTATTTCACTCTGAAATTACCTCAAAATTGTACTTAAGTATGTTATTTCCTGTTTGCTGGGCGCTACTTAAGCGAACCGGGAAAATAACACACAGCACATCTCACTGTTTCTATCATCTCTGATTGTGAGCTCCTGACGGGAACGCTGCTGCTCCACAGTACGCATGCGCTCTGCGCTCCATCATGAGTTGAGTGCGTGTCAGATAATCACATTGAGGGAACAGGAGCTCTCTGTGGGCCGGGAATGAATCAAAACAACAGTATCACTAAAGTGCGCACGGTACTGGAGGCACATGGGTAACGCACAGGCGGGGCAGCAAGAAGCGGAAACGGAAACAATGACGCACAGTGACGTCACTGGCAGTGCTCCAATCCAGCATTGAAGTAAATACAGAAAACATAAAAACAATATAGGGTGATATTTAGGCGGGTAAGTTGTTAAAAACGATTGAAATAAATGTGGTATGGTAAATGAGATCCTAAACGCTGTGAGCTGTCATGAACAGGAACCATGGTCAGATTAACCCAACAATTTGCCATACCTCTACCACCTCTCTGTGCACTGTGTATGCACCCTGATGCCTTCAAGCTCCTATGAATTCCAGTGCAGCCGCTAGTACTATTAGTTTGATTGAACGCAACTGTATTAAAACATGTAAGTGTTATAAACTGAAATAATAACGCTCGGAAAACTACACCTTCACACAGCGTCCCTCTGCAACACACACACAAAACGTGGTAATAATAGGGCCTTTGTAGTTTACTTTAGTGGTGCCAATCCCCAAGAAATTTGCATAGATAGATAGATAGATAGATAGATGGATAGATGTGCTTGCATTGCCATCTAGTGGACAGCCTCCACCTTGCCTCTATAGTGCGCCTACAGTAGTTGCTTTTAATTGTTCCTCCACAGTAATTATGCAACTTTAGAGGTGTAATATGAGGAGATATACATTATATATATATGCAAGTAAATATATCAGACACAATAACAAACAAGTAATTGATTTATTTTGAATATCTCCTTGGTAACATGAGCAGGTATGTGACAGTTATGTGGGTGACGTACAGGAGGAGGAGGAGAATTTTCCCCCTTCACCCCCTCTGGACTCTGGTCAGGACCTCAGAGCAGGGGAGGCTCAGTCAGGAAAAAGGTGACGAAGATGAAGAAGCTGGTGGTGTTTTTGCTCTGCCTGGTCCTGCTGGCCATCTACACAGGTAGGAAACTCTCACCTGAGGAGAGCAGTAGTCTGCTACAATGAATAAAGAGGTGGTTTCCAATAAAGGAATACCTTTTTATCTGTGGATTTAGGTCAATTAAGTCAGATGAGGACATGGCAGAATAATGAAGATATAGGATTTAGGACAGGTTTGCATGAACATAGTGTGTCTTTCTTTTTTTGCATGACTATAATTAGATACTGGATCAAAAAAAAGAAAATGGTGTGTCATTATTATTTTGGTTGCATCCTTGCATCTGTTCTTTTGCACCAGTGTTGCATGTTCCAGCCATTGCATTTCCATGTACAGTTGATTTAATTTCAGCATGCAATGTTGCTCCATTTTTTCCTGAAAACGAACAAATCCGTCATTCTTAATGAGATAGTTGGAGAATGTGTGTGAGAGTTTTGCCACGTCGCTGTGAGGGCCCAGGCAGCAGCAGCAGCAGCAGCTCTGGCCTTGTGTTGACAGAGCTGGGTTCATTCACAGCAGCTCCCTCTGGCAGGAGAGGAAGAGAGAGAGAGCCAGCCTGGCTGCCTGCTGGGGTCACGTGATGTATGGGCCGGGCTCCCTGGGGAGGGAGGAGGATGAATGGGCACTTTGTTACCTTCCACCAAATAGGCTGCCTCCCAATACAGGCCTGGGAAGAGAGAGGGAGACGGAGAGAGAGAGCGTGTGTGTGTGAGCAGCTCCCCTGGGGCTCGCGTTGGCGAATAAACAGCCTCACATGGACTAGCTAAACAGATCAGGTCAGCCACAGCTCAGCAGCAGCAGATAGTGGTGAGAGGTTTATTCATGGGTCTGAACACAGCTTGCAGTGAGAGGAATGCTGTCCTGATTAGCCAATGTCCAGCCAGCAAGAAAACAGCTGTTATGTTCATAGAAAAACAACAAAATAACTCAGGCAGAGGTTAGACTCAGAGCAGACAGCCTCAGTTCCTGAGTGTCTTGGAAAGAGGAAGCAACAATAGAGGAAACTGCAAACACACATGTACAAGACTGGAACAAAATCACAATTTCGCTCTTTTATCTCTTTTTTGTGCAGTTTATTGGCTTTATTGAATTCTTTCTTGGAAGAATTGGATGTGTGAATCACAAGACGGTAGATTAAACATTTAACTCAACTCTTATCTTTCTCTCTCCCTCAGATGCCAATCCTATCATCAAGGAGAGCGTCGCTAAGCAGCTGCTCCGCACCAAGAGGCAGGATCGACCAGTGAAGCCCGGCCACCCTGATGAGCCAATGAGGGTAAGGTTCATCCAGAGCAAAGAGCACAGAAACATTATAGAAACAGACTATTGACTATTGATCAGACTGAGTTCTACATCTATGTGGGTTATTTTAACCTTCCTATTCAGCATTTACAAGCACTGCATAAACAGTACTTTACAACACACTGTAGTGTAGCTGTAAACAATTATAAAGACTATTTAGTGTTTTATTATTTTTTGTGACAATGCTTGATATTTTAATGTACATCACTAAATAATTAATACACTGTGTTTATAAAGCCTTTATTAAGTGTTTATACAGATGCAGGTGGGTTTTAAACAGTTTGAAGACATATCTTTATATGTGATAGCAACTATATTATATCACGTTATGTCATTAAGCATTCATTATCTGTTTATAATGAATTATGGGGAATTGCAGTTGTTTACAGATGCTTTAATAAATACTTAAAAATGTGTTATAAACATTCATTCAAGTGTGTATGTTCTATTGTTTATAAATGCTAAATGGGTGGTTGTGAGTATTTTATAGGTTTTATAGGTTTATATATTATATATTATATTATATATATTTATATACCTACACACTAAATCAGTATCTTTTAAAAATGTAATGTTTCATAACTGTGTTATTTATTAATTTGCTTTTTAAAAATCTTGAAACATTCACAATTTAGAAAGACAATTAAAGCCAGTTATAAATAAACAAATATATATGGATATAATTTAACATAATTTATCATTTCAATTTTAATTTAAAATCAATTAGAGGTCTATCACGCAGGCATTGTGGAGGGAATTTTAGCTGAGCACATATTCACCACAAAGCTTCAGAATGCTCTTCAAATGATTAGAACAAAACCTTTTTTTAAAATAGATCGAATCTGATCCTCTCAACAAATCTGTCTTTCCGATCACAATATCAATCACTTAATGTAAACACTGTACTGCTTTAGCTCTTGGCACTGTGCTTCACTGCATTGTGACCTGATAAGAACTGAAGCAGCGGTATTTGTACACTCATCTCTCCCGTGCATTCGTGCATTGTGATGCTTTGAATGCATCCATTCATCATTGTACGTCTAAGCATGTTTCCATCTGTTTAGCTCTACTCATCTCTGTAATTTCACTTTGCGCTGTCAAGTGCTGTTTGTTGTGCTTTTATGGTACAATGCAAACATTCAAAGCAGAGGACAAAATAGTTCTGAGTCAGTACTGTGGCTAGGTGACTCCCCTCTCATTCAGGTTCATATGTGGCAAACCAGATCTGCATTTATCAGCTTTCTTGTGTTGTCACTTTATTTTCCTCTGTCCGTACCCCCAGGAGCACCTGCTCCACATGCAGGCTCTGGACCAGAGGGCCCAGGAGACCAACCTGGAGCACTGGCTGAACCCCCACTGCTACCCTCGCTGTGACAGGAACTATGGATACCCTGTCTGATGATGGCGATGATTGAGGTCACCCTCAAGTTTTAACTTTCACTTCAAACCCCAAATGCACACTGTGCATGAATGCAACACCGTGCACATACAGCAGCAACATAATCAGTAACACAGGCCCTAATCCTTATACTCACATTGGGAATGACATTCAAAAAGACCCAAGCAACCCCTGCTTCAAGGCTGTACTTTCTTCTATGCTCTCAATTTCTCATGGCTGTTGTGTTATATCTTTTCCTGTTTTTTCTGATTTCTATCTCGACTGCTTGGTACAACAGGAAACCTCAGAAACCTGTCAGACAGTTTCATAACCAGGCTCATTTTTTAATATTGTTAGATATCTTGTTTAAATCTTTTCAGTCAAACCGGTTTATAAACAACAGTATTTCCTTGTTAACAGATATCCACAGTACATGTAAGTCCTAACTTTAGTTTAGCTCTGTTACACACTTGAAAATCAACACTTATTTCACAAGCTTTTTGGTTAAGTAGAAAATAAAACTCTAGCAAAGGGACTTCGAAACTTGACAAAAAACCTAAATATTGAAATATTACTCAGTCTTGCCTTATTGAACAGCATAAATGAATACATTCACACATTGGTCTCATCAGACTAGAAATATGCTACATGTGTAATAGAAATTAGACCTGAGCATTTTCCAATGTTTGAACTGTTCTTTACATTGTTACCTTTTTCTTTTTGTTTCTTCACAGTAAAGGCCCAGGAGAGACAGAGTGGACTCAACAGTGGCAGCAATGAAAAACTCCTTCTCTCTCCTTTTCCTAATATATGACCATGTGAAGATAATAAACAGTGCATATAATCTCTCTGTATCCCAGCTGTGTAGTTTAATGTTATCAGTATTGAATTGAATTGAAAGCCTTT